ATGGCAAGACCTCGTCTCTACAATAAATAAATAAATAAATTAGTTGGGTGTGTTGGCACACGCTTGTAGTTTCAACTACTTGGAAGGCTGAAGTGGAAGGATCAACAGAGCCCAGCAGGTAGAGGCTGTGGTAGCCGTGAGCAGTGTGTGGAAACGGGGGAAAGGTGAGAACGTTAAAATGAATAGAAAAGGGTGAAAGAACTGGTATTATCTGGGGAGAGATATTTTGACTTTGGTTGTGTGAGGTTAAATGAAACACTGGTAGGGTAGCTAGGTAGCATTCTTTTGGAAAACGTATATAGGGGACATTAGATATTAAAGATGTTCCTGTTTTGGTTTGTAGTTGCAGATCCTTAGTACTTTATATTTAAAGCCTAGCAAGGAGATTTCGGCCTTTGTTGTCATGTTTGTAAGTCAGTTGATAGCATTCAGTACTTTGGTAGGTCCTGGGTAAAGCACAAAATGAAAAAGTTTTTTTATTTTTTTTAATTTAAATATCTACAGTATTCAATAACTGTTACGTTTTGGCAATCTTGTGTCTTCTGTCATCTCTTAGCAATTCCTTAATATCATCTAATAGTCTGTGTTCAGACTTCCCTGATTATTTAAAAGTGAGTTTTAACGATTTTATTGATTGAAAAACATTTGTATTTGGTTGATAATAACACAAGTCTCTTTTTAACTCCCCCCCCATTATGCTATTTGTTTGAAGAAGCTGGGTAACTTATTCTGTAGGTTCTCCCATATTTTGGGTTGGCTGATTATGTCTTTGATGTCATCTAGTCATCTAAACTGCTTCTTTGCTCCTTATATGTCTTCTAAACTGGTAGTCAGATCTAAAGCTTGATTCTACTTAGGTTCTCTTTCTAAGGGGATGAGGCAAGGATCCTTCCTAGGTGGAACTATGTATTTCCTATGTAGCACATCAGGAGGCATATTACTGCTTTGGTGTCCTGCTGCTAGTGATGTTAAGATTGATCATTTGGCTCAGATGTTCTCAGCCTAATCCATATATTATAATATTCCCCCATCAACCAACCTTTCATCTAATGCTTTTTAGCAGTCAGTGATGATTTTGCAGAAAGTTTTTGTATCAGTAGCATTTCTTCTGCATGTTAGAATTTTTCTGTAAAGAAGAACTTCCCCTTATTGACTAGTTATCCTGAAATATTTTGTACAGGATTTATATAGACTGAATGTATGCTTAAATCTTCTGTTTTATTTGCTAGTTTTCAGAATGAGTTTTTTGTGAAGTTATCATAAACGTATGCATTTCTGTATTTAATGTTTTAAATTCATTTACATTTTTTTTTTTTTTTTTAAATTTAGAGTCACTCCTTCGGCCAGGCTGGAGTGCAGTGGCACACACGCTCATGGCCACCCCAGTGTCAACCCTCTGGGCTCCAGGGATCCTTCTGCCTCAGCCTTCCGAGTAGCCTGAGCTACCACGCCCGGCTATTTTTTATTTTATTGTAGAGACGAGGTCTTGCCAGGTTATGCTGGCTGGTGTGAACCCGCGGGCTCAGGCAGTCCACTTGCCTCGGCCTCCCAAAGTGCTGGGATTACAGGCTGAGCCACTGAGCCCGGCCCCTATTCACAATTTTTTAAAAAAATGCTCTAATTATCCCATCTTTGTCCAGTAGTAGATGATTTAAGTTGGCACTTGTGCTCTTTTGATGTGATCTCCCCATTCATCTTTGATAGATTTCTTACATTTGAGATCATCACTAAATGACCTAGGATAATCTCGAAATTTCTTGCTCAGATTTGAAATTAACCATTTTTTTAAAAGGGGCCCAAGTTCAAAGAGGTTTTGAAGGACTAGGATTTTCACTTTGAGAGACTATTGAAGAACAATGCAAGACAGAATGCAGTCATGTAAAATGGTAGACGTGTTCTCACAATGTGTTTGGGACTGTAAGTGCTGTAGGAAATATCACTGATTCCTGGAATGTCTGGATGAGGCATTTTGGAAGAGGTAAGATGGTCAGTCAAACGGGAGAAAATGAAAACTCATATGCCAGTTGTACAGTAGAAATAGTGAGGAACTTAGTTAGAACTCAGAATACCTTGACTTTGGTCTTGATCTTGTAACACTGGGGAATAAGAACATTCTTGCAATTGGGAATGACACTGAAAATCATGCTTTAGAAAGGTTGATTGTGCAGCAGAGTTAAGCAGTGGTTTAAAGTAGTGGTTTTTAGCTTGGTATCTGCAGCACAATCTTTGAAAAATTAAACCAACCAAACAAACCCATAGCTGGAACCTGTTTCCAAACTGTTGAATACCAGACTGGAGGAGTCGAGAAATTTCCTTTTCAAAGGACTCCCATGTGATTCTGTTTTGGTGTAAACGTTTTAGGACTATTGAATCAAAGACTAAAAGCTCAAAGAACAGTTCAGCTGTTCCAAGTATTCTAGGAATGTGGTAGTAAGGACATGGATTAGGGTGAGGCCAGTGGGAATGAGAGGAAGGGAGGGAAAGAATAAAGCAAATATATGTCTTTAAAGTTTTCATGTAGTATTTCGTTAATACTAACACAGGACTGAAAGAGAAGGAATAAATATGACTCAAGATTTGTGGTATGGGGGCCAGGGAGGGTGATGTTGATAGAAATGGGAAGATTGGCAAAGACTGCTAGTTTAGGGGAGAAGATAGTGGGGTTTTGGACATGATGTGTTGAGATGACAGCTACATAGCAAAGGGAACTCGGAGGTTCAGATATGTTTTATGTCTTGCTTTTTCTGAATGTTTCACCCATTCTCTTGTCATAGTACTCAGTGAATAATAAGTCATGCTACATTGATTGGGAGGATTTATAACAGTAACCTTTCATTTGATGAATGTGATCACAAAAATATTTGATACATTAAATAAAGGACCATCTGTTTATTGTAAAATAAGATGGGAAACAGACTGAAAAAAGTTATAACAGATATTAAGATGTTAATAGGAAAAATACTGTAATCATTTGAAACAAAAAAATCAGTAAATCAGGTAAAGGACTTAAGCAGAATTCTCATTCCTTCAACAAACGTTTACTGAAACAGAATTCTCACAGAATTCTCATTCCTTCAACAAACGTTTACTGAGCTCTTACTTCAGGTACTGTTCTGAGTGCTAGCAAACAAGACCAAGGAGCTCTCTGAGTGTGCTGGTAGTGTTATGAGAGACAAATAGTGTAAGAGGTAGACAGCAGACATGTTCCAAAAAATAAGAATTTCAAATATTGATAATGATATTAAGAAAAGAAGATAGGGTAATGAAGTAGAGAGTGACCTTTTGGGGTTTATTTATTTATTGTTTATTTTTGAGTCAGAGTCTCACTCTGTCGCCCAGGCCGGGGTACATTGGCATGATCACAACCACCACAGCCTCAGCCTGCTAGGCTCAGGTGATCTTCCGTCTCAATCTTTCAAGTAACTAAAACTACAGGCTTGTGCCACTATGCCCAGCTAATTTTTTTTATTTATTGTAGAGACAAGGTCTTGCCATGTGGCCCAGACTGGTCTTGAGCCTGTGGGCTTAGGCAATTCCCTCACCTCTACCTCCCAAAGTGCTAGGATTACAGGTGTGAGCCACCACGCCTGGCTAGGTTTTATTTATTTTTTGTCTTTTCTTGGGGAACATTGGTAGTGTTGTGCATCTGGAGGTTAGCATTCCTAATTTCTACTTAATTATGTGAAAAACATTAGTCAGATTCAAGTTCTGTTGGAGTTCCCTGGTAATTTGACTCATAAGTGCTTTTCTTTTTCAGTTTTTTCTTTTGTTTGGTTCTTCTTAAAGATGCTTATGTAATAGATAAGAGTATAGATTTCTTCCTGACAAGTGAGCTTGCTTCTTGTGGAAATTACTTATGTGGGTTATTTTCACAGAATAGTGTTGGCATTGTTCTGTTGGGAGAGAAACTATTCCTCTGAAAAATGTTTACGTTTTTTTCTGTGGCTTCATTCAATAGCGAAATGTAGTGATTTGATTCTGCCATGAGTCAGTGGCACATCTGAAGGTGGGAACTGAGTCACTTGGACCCTTCCTTGCTTTTTGTACACGGTTTTTGTGAGAGTCAAATGAAATACATATGCAAGGTATCTTCAAAGTTGAAGGAAATCACTGCATAGTTAAGAGTTGACTGTAACTTATCTTTGTTCTTTGTTGCTTAATTATACATACATCATGTAACTAAATATTTTAAACTATACTTAAAGTATAGCAAGTTCAGTGAGTTTCTTTACAGAGAAATAGTAAGTGGTTTGTAGACGGAAAGTTATCTGTTTAGGAAATTTCTTCAACAAATAAACATTTTTATGTTTTTTATATATTGCTGAAGAGTGATCCAGAAGTTGAAGTCTCACTCCACCACTCAGCCTGGCGTGCAGTGGCACACTCATGGCCACCCCAGCGTTGACCTGCTGGGCTCAGGTGATCCTTCTGCATCAGCCTTCCAAGTAGCCAGAACTACAGGTGCATGCTACCATGCCTGGCTAATTTTTTGGTTTGTTGTAGAGATGAGGTCTCACCAAGTTGCCTAGGCTGTTCTCAAACCCGTGGGCTCAGGCAATCCTCTCATCTTGGACTCCCACAGTGTTGGAATTATAGGCTTGAGCCACCATGCCTGGCAGTTATATTTTTAATCAGTAATTTTAGGGACTTTTTAGGTGTGAGAAAGAGATATTGGAATGAGAAAACAAATTTTAGTCTTTAATTTTCTATTTGATAATTTACTGTTGAGAATATAAAATTTGCAGAGGAGGCCAGGCACAGTGGCGTGTATCTGTAGTCTGAGTTACTTGAGAGACTGAGGTGGGAGGATTGCTTGAGCCTAGGAGTTTGTGTCTAGACTGGGCAACAAGTGAAATCCATCTCTTATAAAAAAGATTTGCAGAGGAGGAAAGGGATGAGGTTTTTAGAAATGGAAACAGAGATAGAACTGAGATAGCTCCAGTGCTTTAATGTTTGCTTTAATTCTGACTACTTTGTATGGAATCTTTTTTCTTTTAAAGGAAACTTGAACATAACTTCGAAAGAAGATTTGATTCTTTATTTCTGGACTGCATATATATAGCAAGGCCATCAGAATGTCAGGAGCCTCAGTAAAGGTGGCTGTCCGGGTGAGGCCCTTCAATTCTCGAGAGACCAGCAAGGAGTCTAAATGCATCATTCAGATGCAAGGCAACTCGACCAGTGAGTGCACATTGTTTACTATCATTTATTAGCTCACTTTTCTTTCCTCCCTCCCATCTCTTCTTGCTATGATCAGAATAGATGAACATTTGTGTGTTCACACTTTGAACTTTGCTATTCTGAAGGATCCAGAATATCCCCTCTTGATATTTGCTGCAGTATATTTAAATGTGGACTATTTGTTTTGCTCTTTACAATTGAGAAATCCTGAATAACTAGACTAATTTAGCTGTTGTTAATACTTATTAAGTTGACATTTTTTTTTTAAGTTGGAGTCTTACTCTGTCACCAAGGCTGGAGTACAGTGGCATGATTATGGCTCCCCACAGTCGCAAACTCCTGGGCTCAGGAGGTCCTTCTGCCTCACCCTCCCAAGTATCTGGGACTATAGGTGTGTGCCACCATGCCCAGCGAATTTTATTTTATTCTATTTTTTTGTAGAGATGAGATCTTGCTATGTTGCCCAGGCTGGTCTCAAACTCTTGGGCTCAAGCAATTCTCCTGTCTTGGCCTCCCAGAGTGCTGGGATTACAGGTCTGAGATACCTGAAATCTCAGGCTGGCTGAAATCTTAATAAAGATGTAAGCTATGATATTTACTAAATACTGATATGATGTATACCTCCCGAGGCACCAAGATTTATTGTTCTTCTTTCTCAATTTTAAATCGCACCAATTTGCCAAGATCTTAGAACTTACTCTTCAATGGTTCTTTGAGTTGAATAATGGATGCAATTATAATATATAGTAAACTTGTAAATTATTACTAAAATTATCAGTCACTGCTTCCTAGCTTGTTTCTTGTTAGAATTACTTAGGTGAAAAATGATGTAAGCTGGTTTCTTTTGTACTCACATTACTAAATTACTTTATATGGGTCTGTAGGCAAATTATTACTTAAAATACTGGTAGGCTCTGCCATTTTTCAATCTGTAATTTGATGATAAAGCAGAATGGTTACTTGTTCAGATACAGGTTCCTGCTGAAGTGACTCTTCTGACCTTAGCTGCTTGTGCTCCACTTGCCAGTGTTATGTGGAGAGGCGTCTGCGGGGGGGAAATGTTTGTTCCACAGAAATCTAGCTAGATAGTGCAGTTCACATTCAGGTAGTTCATGTACAACTTTGAACATTTCGCTGCTTATAGTCTTCTCTGAACTTGATAGGGCTTGTAGCGATCTTTTTTAGAAAACAAAATTCAAAAGTAGGAATCCAAATAGCTATACCATTGTATTTTACATTTGTCAATTGTGCCAAAGATTGTATGAATTATATCCTATGAATATTGTCAAATAAAAAGAGATACAAAAGTCAACATTGAATTGTATAAACAGGTTAACTTTATGGCATTTAAATTATATCTTAATAAAACTGGTTTTAAAAAGTCAGTATTGATCATGTGCTCCTTTCTTAAAATTTGACCTAAATTCATAATTGAATGGGACAACAACATATTACATTTTTTTTCTTGCATGATGTTATTATTTGTGCTTCATTTTAATAATTAAATTTTATATAATATGTATCATTAATTAGGCTTCTGATTATTGAGCTGTCATTTCTCTGTGAAAAACATATTTAATTATAACTTACTCTGGAATACTGGTATATATCACAAGTTTTGTTAAAAGGTAGACTTTAGGAAATCCTGGATCAAGAGCAAAAATGAATTCCAAAAAGAACTCCTTTTTTTAATGATATGTTTTGCATACTGAATGTTTCTTGCTTATCCAGGAGAAATCCCCACTGTTATGGGGATCTATTTTCATTAATGTTTGTGGTTTCTTTTGCTATAGAGTTGGAAATCTTGCTAAACATTTTTAAGTAGAGATTGAGTATTAAAAGCACATATCCAAGAATTGCAAAAATAAATTTATCATATAATAAAAGTAAATGGAAGGTTTTTATTAGTATAAGTAATGATACTAATTTTTTTCTTGATGACAAATAATTTTAAAATATGCACATCTTGCATTGGCTATGTTTATATTTATTGTCAAGGTCAAATAGCATTATCTTATTTTCCCCTCCACTTTTGATTTATTTTTGTGAATAGATGAAACATTCACTCACATAGTATAAAATTTGAAAGGTACAAAGAGTGTGCTATACAAAGACTTCCTCTCATCCTATCTCATAGTCAACCAGTTCCTCTCTCCTTAAGCTAACTGTGTTATGTAACCTACCAAAGTTAGTTTAGATGATCTTCCAGAGATAGTTTAAGCAGCAGCATCTTTTTCTTTTTTCTTTTTTCTTTGAGTTGGAGTCTCACTCCGTTTTCCAGGCTGGAGTGCAGTGGCTTGCTCACGGCCACCTCAGCTTCGAGCTGCTAAGTTCAGGTGATCCTTCTGTCTCAGCCTTCCAAGTAGCTGGAACTACAGGTACACCCGGCTAATTTTATTGTAGAGATGAGGTCTCGCCAAGTTACCTGGGTTGTTCTCGAACCTGTGGGCTCAGGCAGTCCTCTCACTGCAGCCTCCCAAAGTGCTGGGATTATAGGCTTGAGCCACCATGCCCGGCCAGCAGCATCTTTTTCTAAGATAGTTTCCCCCTTTTCATTAGTAATAAAGTGTAATAGCAGCTTATTTTTCAGTCTTGACTGCATTATATGTTTTAAATACTTGAATAATACAATTTGTGTTTATAGTTTGTTAAAGTTGTTTCTTTAAAAAAAAAATTATTTTCCAACTCATCTTTGACAACGCCTCCACGACCTACCACTGGGGAGAGGAGAACCTATTCAGTAAATGGTGCTGGGAAAACTGGCTGACCACATGCAGAAGATTGAAACAGGACCCCTATCTATCCCCATGCACAAAGGTTAACTCCAAATGGATCAGAGACCTAAATGTAAAACCTCAAACCATAAGAACCTTAGAAAAGGAAGGAAATACCCTCATGGAAATCGGAACTGGCATCCAATTCCTGAACAAAACCCGAAACCCACAGGTCATAAGAGAGAAGATAAACAAGTGGGACCTTATTAAACTGACAAGCTTCTACAAAGCCAAAGAAACCATCAAGAGAGCAGGGAGACAGCCTACAGACTGGGAAAAAGTATTTGCCAACTCCAGGTCTGACAAAAGGTTAACATCCTGGATCTACAAGGAACTCAAACGTGCTGAAAAGAAAAAAACAAACAACCCCATTATAAAATGGACAAAAGATATGAACAGACACTTCACAAAAGAAGACATTCGAGCAGCCAACAAACACATGAAGAAATGCTCAACCTCACTAATCATCAGGGAGATGCAAATCAAAACCACACTGAGATACCACCTAACTCCAGTCAGAATGGCAATTATCAACAACTCAAAAAATAACAGCTGCTGGAGAGGGTGTGGTGAAAAGGGAACACTTTTACACTGTTGGTGGGAGTGTAAACTAGTGCAACCTCTGTGGAAAGCAGTGTGGCGATTCCTAAAAGCTCTAAATATCGACCTCCCATATGACCCCGCAATCCCCCTACTGGGAATATACCCTGAAGAACTCAAATCACTCTATAAAAAAGATATCTGCACACATATGTTTATCGCAGCATTGTTCACAATAGCAAGAACCTGGAAGCAACCATGCTGTCCACCAAAAGAGGACTAGATTAAAAAAATGTGGTACATATACACGATGGAATACTACGCAGCCATAAAAAAGAACGAAATCATGAATTTCACAGCAACCTGGATGGAACTAGAGTCAATAATAACTGAGTGACCTCTCACAGAAACAAAGATCTGAGTATCACATGTTCTCACTCATATAGCAGTCCTTGAACATATACCGTAATACTATTAAAAAAAAAAAAAAAGAACACTGACAGTGGTGGGAAACTATGGGGGGGAGGGGAAGGGAGGTGGGATTAACGGTAGTCAATATCTGTGTGGGGACGGGGAGATACCCCTTATCAACAAGGGTGCCTGAACGAAGCATATTTGTATACCTAACCCTTAACTGTACCCCACAATATCATAATAAAAAATATTGATTATAAAAAGAAAAATTATTTTGAGTTGGGGTTTCACTCTTGTCACCCAAACTGGAATGCATGGTCATGACCGTCATGGCTCCCAGCAGCCTTGACCTCCTGGGCTCAGGCAGTCCTTCTACCTCATTATTCCAAGAAGCTGGGACTATAGACTTGCACCACCACTCCTGGCTAATTTTTTGATTTTTTTTTTTTTTGTAGAGATAAGGTTTTGCTGTGTTGCTCAGGCTGTCTTGAACTTTTGATCTCAAACATTCCACCCACGTAGTCTTCCCAAAGTACTGGAATTACAGGCATGAGGCACCACACCCAGCCTCTTTTAAGATTGTAACATGAAATAAAATCCTTGCAAGGTAATGGATTTTATTTATTAGGAGGTATTTACTGTATGCATAATGGCATGCTGTGTAACTAAATAGAGTATCAAAAAGCAATCTATTGACTGTGCAGAGAATAAAACTCACAGAGTACACCTTTCTTTTGGCTGTGTGAGCATTAACAATTTAAAAACTTTTTTTTAGTTAAAAGAATTAAAAACTCAAAGTATATAGTGGTAAGATTTGTTTTTGTTTTTTTTTTTTTGAGTTGGAGTCTCACTCTGTTGCCCAGACTAGAGTGCAGTGGCCACTCCCGGCCACTGCAGCCTCGAGCTGCTGGGCTCCGGCGATCCTTCCACCTCAGCCTTCCAAGTAGCTGGAACTACAGGCGCACACTACCACACCTGGCTAATTTTTTGATTTATTGTAGAGATGAGGTCTCACCAAGTTGCCTAGGCAGGTCTTGAACCCCCGGGCTCAGGCAATCCACTCACCTCAGCCTCCCAAGGCGTGGGATTACAGGCTGAGCCACCGAGCCTGACAGTGGTAAGATTTGAAAGCTTTTTTTGTAGTTCTGGGTCTCTACAGTTTTGAGAAATGGATATGAGTCTGGTTAATCTCTGATTTTGCCATTTTTTGATCACCTGGATTACAACTTACTATGATATTATTGATGGTTAATAAAGTGTTAGGTCTCAGTT